ATATATATATATATATAATTTGACTTTTGGGGGAGGGTGGTTGAGTGACGGCGAGATCAACAAAGAGGGACTGGTGGGTAGGAGGAGGAGAGGAACATAATATTATGGAGGGAGAGATGAGGTGAAAGAGTCGACGAGAATTATGACGGCAAAGAAAACAAGCAGGCTGACGACGAACGAACGAGCAAGTGAATACCATCCAAGCAAACTCAGCATCGGAAGAAGCAAACAAAACAAACAACCATACAACCAACCAACTAACCAACTAACCAACCTACCAACCGACCAGCCAGCCAACCAACCAACCAAAAAACAAACCACCCTGCCAACCAACTGACCTAAACCCAAAGAACTAAATAACAAACCGACCTTGGCCTGCATGGCTGTGATGTCCTGGGGCCACATGTGTTTTGCCGCGTCCACCCGGAACCCCGCCACTCCCAGGTCAATCAGCTGGTTGAAGTAGCCGGCGATCTTGTCCTGGACATAGCCCTGAGAGCCGTCCAGGTCGGTCAGACCCACCAGGTTACAGTCGCGGACGTTGTGCGGGTCTCCGTAACTGGCGACAGATTGGCCCCCTTGGTTTGGGGTTTTGTCTTTTTGGGGGGTTTGTTTTTGTGTTTGTTTTTGTGTTTGTTTTTGTTTTTGTTCTTGTGTTTGCTCTTGTGTCTATTGTTGTATTTGTTTTTCTATTGTTGTATTTGTTTTTGAGTTTACTTTTGTGTTTGCTTTTGTGTCCGTTTTCGTGTTTGTTTTTTGAAGCAGGTAAAACTCTACTAGTGTGAGACATCGTGGTGAAGTCAGGCGCTTGTCAAAATACTGAGATAAAAGAAATAGACATTTTTCCCCGCCCGTTTGGCAATCTTACTTTATCATTTTTTTGCTTTAGGCTCAACACCTTTTGTGTCTATTTATTTAAAAAAAACAACCACATATTTTGTTTTGGACTTTACTGAAAATGTCGGACAAAGGAAAAGAAATTGTAAATCTGCAGTTTCCAAACACTTTCAAATTTTAAAAGTCGCTAAAACACTGACGGCCATTTTCTCGCTAATTTTACCTGCGACACCAGGCTACCCCCCCACCCCCCCTTTCCCCCCTTCAATCGTAAATATCTCGACTTTCATTCTTTTCATCAAAAGCAAAACACTGTCTTGCCCCACAAACTCACTTGTTGATGTTACCATCGTGGGAGGGACATTTGCTTCTGTCATTGAAATTGACCTTGGAGAAAGGCACGCCGGGAAAGTCGTATGCGTC